GACCGGGGAGGGGACACCCTTACTCAACGGCACCGAGATACCGAAACCTTCCAGACAGGTTAGCATGGTGGCTAATTTACCTTAACAGCTATTACCTCCGCTGCTTCCCAAAGAAGATGCTGTGTCATGTTTTATTAGCTACCCTAGGCTTATGTTGACTCATGTTTATAAATACTGCATGGGCTATGAATGCTTTTAATCATTTTAATGCACGGCTGCGCACACAGTTTTTACTGAGGTGTTGTTGATGTCTGGTGACTGTTACTCATATAGCAGCAACATGACTTGACCCAGAGTGCATGTGAGCATAAAGTCAAATGAATTGAGGATGGAAGTGTGCAAGAATTCACGAAGACGGCGAGTACACATCAAAACAAGAGAAAACCACCAAACATTGTGGTGTGTTTTGGTTTGCAATTCTGGATGATAAATGCAACCACAAGTTTTGTTTGTGACTGGGTTTAGAGGGCGAAAGTAATAGAATTAGGCCTATTCAAATTAAGTACATGATGCTCATAATTTGTTTCAGTCCTCCTGGAAAATAATCAGATTATAGCTAGTCATTCGCTGATACTTCCATTATTTCCTAACCTGTTTGGCGCTGGAAAACATCCTGATGGCGATGGGGACAAATTGGATTACCTGGGCTACAGGTAGACTGTAATGTGACTGCTTTGGGAAGTGTGATTATCCCAGCACGATCCAGTTACAAGACCTGCAGACGTCTGCCTGTCAGAGTAATATTGAAATATTCTGGGAAATCCAACTTCCTTTTTTACTGTTACCGTTTCTGCCTGTGTGGCATTAGCCAACATGAAAGTAGAGTCTCACGTTAATCCCCTTCCAAATATGCACATCCAAAAACGGATGTTTTCTCATTTGCATCAGAAAATGTACAGGTATGGAAAAGAACATGCTTTTTGTGTGCATTTTCTGTTGTAGATTTTTTTGTTTGTTTTGAAGTCAAATATTTCTTCAATAAAGGGAGCAATATAGCGTTTCTTACTCTTAAAAATCTTACCCGACATGTATAACCTTTCATATGAGTCCAACATCAAAAGATGTCCAAAAATAGACTTTAGTCTCCAAGTAGAGGGGAGAAGACTCTTGTGTTAGTTTCTTAAATGGATACCAGCAGTTAACAATGTAACATATCACCCTGAAAAGTGCTACACATGGCCATACTCATATATTTATGTTGCTGTCTGTGATGTCTTTAGCTGTCCGGATCAGGCAGTGTATTTCGGATAGGCAGATTCAGCACGGTGGATTTGGAAGATGATATAACATCAGAAGAGGTAAAGTTTGAGCTCCCAACATCTCTGCTCTCTCTTTGTCTTTTTCTCTTCTATTTCCCTTTATTAGCAGTTCTTGTTTTAGCCTCTTAGACCACAATAATCTTTCCCAGCATTCCCCAGCAAATCACTGCAGTTGTAACTAATGCGATTCAGCCACATGCTCATATTTGTTTATTTGCCAATGCCTTGACTGAGATAAAGTTGAAGGTTGAGACTGAGCTGCTTCCCTCTGAATGATTTGGGAAAACTGACACAGAAATTAGTCGCTCACCAGCCAGAATAGTCCAGTGATGCTTGACTCACTAGGGGCACGTGATTGGAAACTGTCTGCTGGTTTCCAATGTGAGGCACTGCAAATGGCAAATTGATCAAGTCCATGCATTTGAATATATGTTCATTACATTCATTCATTACATTTTACTTAACTACTTCTTTCCAGGCTTAGGATACTTAAACCAGGACAAGAAATCCTCATACATACATTCTGACACACAGGACCACATACTGATACTTGAGGCTCCGTTAGCACGACAGGATGACCCATCTGTTCTGCTTCTTCACACAAACCATCTGATTCAGTTATGTTTTCATTGGCTGACTGGCTGGAATATGATTTCAGGCTTGTGATTTGCTTGAGTATGATAAACAAAATGTTATTTCCAGCTTGTTTGCAGCTCTGTGAAAGTAATTTCTTTACTTAGTTGCATGCTGCACAGATGGATGGCAAGCTAAAGCGTAATTTATGGTGCTGCAAATGTGTCTGTCTGCCTACGTGTTTATATTTGGACAGGGAGAGGGGTTTTCACCCATCGCAGATGTGCTCTT